ACGGACACCGGAAGAGGCAGTCACGTTCTGGTAATTAATTCAAAAACAAAAACAAAAACGCATTCAAACTGAAATGAAACTGTTTTGTGCGCGCAATAAAGACAATGTTTTTTAAAGTTATATGCATTAAGGCTGATTTACACGGTACGATTTGTCGCGCGCGACTTGTGGTCCTTGTAGTATACGACTTGAATCGCGCAGTGTAAATGCCCCTACGACTTGTCTACAACAGTCGTACGTAACCTACGACTTGTAGTAGGGTTTTGAACCACTGCTTAAAATCCTACGACTTGTAGTAGGAAAATCGTATACTACAAATCGCGCGCGACAAATCGTACCATGTAAATCAGACTTTAAACGAAACAGGCCCGTCACACGCGCGATTTTTTCTTGCAACTTGTGTCGCGAATTTTATTTTTGCAAGTTGCTCGAGCGATGTCACAAGAGCGATTTCGGTTGCAACTTGTCTCGCGCAAAAACATTTTGCAAGTTGCACGCGTAATTTCAAATATTCGACCACGGATCCGAAGAGAGAAATGGCCGAAGAATTTGTTCGCAAAAAGGCACTTGTTGCGCTATGTATCTTAGAGCTGGTCGAATTATCTTCTGAGAAAAAGAAAAAAACAGCAAAAGAAGAAGAAGAAGTGGATACGATCTTGGCTTGCTAGACGCGAACACCGAGGTTGTTTTCACCAGGTAAACACACAAAAATGCACAACACAATAGGTTATAAATCGCGTCAAATTAAAAGAAAAAAAACATAACAGAATTTAGATAGGAATGTTTATCTATTGTGGTAAACATGTTTATTAATTGCAAAATTAGATCAACATGTTATGAGCTGCCTGTATTAAAATTATAAAATCAAAAAAGTGATTTCTAATTCTCTTTGTCTATTTTAAGCTTGTTGCAGAGCTAGAATTGGAGGATGTACAAGGTTACAACCAATATTTTAGAATGGATAAGTCGCAATTTTCCTACCTTGGCGATCTTATCGATACACTTGTACGGAGGTCTGACACTGTGATGCGCAAAAGTATCAAAACAGACGAGAGACTTGCTGTTACATTGAGATACCTTGCTACTGGAGAGACATTCAAGTCCCTAGAGTACCAGTTTCGTATAGGTCGAAAAGCAATTTCCAATATTGTTCTGGAAGTATGCGAAGCTATCACAACCGTACTCTCACCAGAATTTCTTAAGGTACCCAAAACAAGAGATGAGTGGTTGTGCATAGCAAACAAATTTGAGTCACGCTGGAACTTCCCGCATGTCATTGGCGCTGTCGATGGAAAGAGAGTAATAATTCAGCAGCCTGGAAACAGTGGGTCGCATTTTTATGACTACAAGGGGAATAATAGCATAATACTTTTGGCAGCTGTTGGGCCTGAATATGAAATCCTTTGGGCTGATATTGGTACTAATGGGCGTGCATCTGATGGCACTGTATGGCAAAAATGTGACCTCAAGCAAGCATTATCCTCACCCCACTGGATATACCAGATGCCACCCCTCTACCTGGAAGAGTAAAAAATATGCCATACGTGCTCACTGGTGATGATGCCTTTGCATTAGCACCATACATGATGAAGCCATATCCCCAGACAGGCCTGACCAATGAGCGCAGGGTTGTCAAGGAATAGGCGAATATCTGAAAATGCTTTTGGCATCCTTGCTAACCGCTGGCGTATACTTAGATCCCCAATCCCCTTATGCCCCGAGAAAGTGATCCACATATTGTCTGCCATCATAGTCCTCCATAACTTTTTGGTCAAACATGAAAGTGCCAATAGCTATATCACACCAAATTTAGTGGATACCGAAGACATAAATACTGGTTGTGTAGCCCCTGGTATCTGGCGAGATGACCAACCAACAAGCTCTTGGCTTCCCTATCAACCAAACTGCAGCAACAACTATAGTCAAGATGCAAAGGAAATTAGAGAGAAATTCAAAGAATATTTCCACAACGAGGGTGCTGTTGTTTGGCAGTGGAGACAGTGTGGCATTGATTAGTTAAAATATATAAACACAACCAGTTTGTTAACAATTGAGGAAACATTTTCATAGTCTGTAATTGTCAAGACTATATATAAATATAATCAATGTGATTCACAAAACAAATATTTTGAGTGGATTTGTATCCTTCCCAATAAAGCAACACATTTTACAGCATTTTAAGTCCAAATGGATTGTTTTGTATTGGTAAACATATACAAATAAACATACAATATACATTGTTAGTTTCTAACTAATGTGTAATAAAGCATAATATATGCTAATATTATATTTAATGTCTGACCTTAAGAACAAAATTGAGTTCAATACAGGTTTAAAAACAGTTCAAAAGGGTGAAGCTTATAGATTAGAAACCTGGCTGCACATACTGAGAAGGATATTGAGATGGGTATGCTTGTGTTTCCGTGTAGCCCATTTCAACTTGAAATAGGACATCACTTATCATCTTTTTCGCTATGGCTTTTTGTCTCCCCGTAAATCAGCTCAAAGTATCTGTGACCATCTTTGCAAATGTCTGCTCTTCGCTGGCATCAACTGTAGCCTGGGAGCTTGGCGTTTTAAGGATTTCTATACAAGACTTTAGTAGCTCGACCTTTGCATCCTCGGAGTCATCGACAGTGCTACTGACATTTTGCTTCTTCTTGGCAGGACGAGGTGTCATGGTACTCACTGATTCATCTACCTCGCTGCAGCGTTTTAAGAACGATAGGGCACAAACCAAAGTATCTCCATTTAGATGTGTACACTTGGTCGGTACCCTTTCCTGATACTTTGCTCCCTTCTTGGCGTTTATTTTCCCTCTGCCAAATGGTCTTGAGGTTATGCCATTCTGTTTTTATCTCGTCGGCGCTGCGGTTTGGTATCTTTGAAGACAACTCTTCCATGGCAAGGCTTTTCAGATTTCTATCTTGATATTCTTGAATCCTGTGGTCCCACAGGCAAGGATTACTTTGATAAAACTCTATGAGAGTATTAATGTCCTCGTCAATCCACTCCTTCACGGACTCTTGCTGTATAGATTGTAGCACTTCGGCCTTCATAAAACTCAACTTGTTGTAAAATTTCCAATTACTTTGCTATTCTTGTAGATCATTTTCTCTCTTTAACTCTCTTACCAAAGACGTTCTAAGTTAATGAATGAGCTTTTTCACGTTTTCATCACTTAATGAAAACTGTACAGAGAGTACGCCTCTTGAAAACGATTGAGCACCCCAAAGAGCTTTACGCTTGGACAGCTCAGTGATAAAAAGCAATTTGTCTTTGTCTTTTAACTTTCTATTTAGTAATTCGTTTGTAAAGGTATCKTCAGTACTTGTATCGTAAGTATCAGCAACATAACTAACATTTTCAGCTCGATTTGTAGCCATTTTGCCGCTGCACAATATTTACAAAAGTTCAAGTTGTAAAGATATCAGATTCTCGCTTTGTGTTTGGATCTCGCGCCTTTAATTTGACCAATCAAAAAATCGCAAGTTGCAAGGAGCCATGTCACACGTGAATTTTTGCGAAAAAAATCGCAGAAAGTAGAAACCGATTCTACTTTTCGCGCAACAAAAAAATCAAAATTGCAAGTTGCACGAGCGATGTCACACGAGCAAAAAGCTCGAGCACCTTGCAAAAATAAAATTCGCGGCACAAGTTGCAAGAAAAAATCGCGCGTGTGACAGGGCCTGTAGGAGATGACACGCCCAATACTTTGAATCAGCTCTGTCTCATTCTTTGTCAACGTAGCATTTACTTATAGCTTGTATC